CCAAAGTAGGTTTGCCTTAACTTTTTATAAGACTTAGAAATACTTGTCTTTTTTGTTTTAATATTATAAGCTATTTGCCAGGCTGTGAGGGAGTTCTTAAATATGCCATATTCTCTCCTTAAACCAAGCCACATTCATGTAAAGCTCTGCTGACGCTTTGTTGATAAAGATTTATTTTGTAACCTTTTTAGTAGACATTTGTTTTAATAACTATTTTATTTAAGTCTGTGAAAACTAACTGTTTTTTTTGCCAGATGTGTGTTTTGTGGGTCTTTCTTTCTTTCTTTCTTTCTTTCTTTCTTTCTTTCTTTCTTTCTTTCTTTCTTTCTTTCTTTCTTTCTTTCACAACAGTTAAGCACATGTAAATATTAGCATTTTGGATTATATGGATTAATATTTTTTATTGTTTGGTTTAAATATGGAATATTTTTACTAACTACTTTGGAGTTGCTTTTGTTTACTGTTTGTATTGTTATTACCACGTGCTTGCTTTATTTTTTTTCTTTTCTTTTTTTGCTAATTATTTTAAAGCTTTTTAACAGTTTTCAGAGGACACAAAGGTGACAGAAGTTTGCTTTTTTGCTGACTTTTTACAATGTTACATTGTCCTTGCACCACTGAATTTTTTAAATGAACTTTTCTCTTAAGTTTTTTAGCTCTTCTCTCAATGTCACTTGAAGATTTAAATGATATGTAATTTTATAGTGCCAATTTTTTTTTTTGCTTTTTGAAATTATTACATTTTATTTTCATGATTACATTGAACTAATTTCAGTAACTATTTTGCACTTTTAATTGTAGTAACGCCAATCATTGTTTTTCTTTTTATTAAGTTTATATAGTCTAATTTTGGTGCTTCTTTTTTTAAGGCTGCGAAATTTTGTAACAGCTGGTAACATTTGTGAATGGCTGATATTAATTTTTTAAAAAGAATAAAGGCTGAGCTTTTTTAACACTTATTTGAGAGTTTAAGTTAATGTATTTAGAAGGGTTTTCCATTTTTTTTTTAAATGGAGAAGTTATTTATTTGTGAATTTTTAAAATTTGTTTGTAATGTATGTACATTTCAAATGGACTGGTCTTAGCACACTATTTAACTCTTGCTACACAGACTAGCTGATTTTTTACCCTTTAAATTGATAAAACCATTATTAGTAGCTAATTTTGTTAAAACACAAATTCAGATGTGTTTCTGTTTTTACATTGTTCTTTTAAAAATAGATACAGTTTTTTTTAATTACATTTTTTACTCTAAACTTATTTTTTATGCTTAAATTATACCTGAAAAGCATTTATATTTCTTGGAATGATTTTACACATTTAAGATAGAATCTTAAAGTTTTTTCCAGTACGTTCCTGTTCATCCATTATGATCGTTAATTTATGGGAAACCGTTTCAGCAGAGCTAAAACTGCTAGAATTATTTAAAGGAGTTGCACTGGAGGGTTAAGGCACAGAGTGCGTAGTTCTGGGGTAACAGGATAAATTTCATTACTAGCCTTGCTTTTTATGGGGTCTTTTTAGAAAATAACATAACTTACAACCACTTAGAGACTTTAAGAAAAACAAACAGGATATGTCTACAGCCAAAAATAAAGAATGCAAATTATAATCACTCATCACAGGAGAAGAAGGGAAAGAGGGAATATAGGTTAAAACATAATCAAAACAAGGCCTCTCAGGACGACAGTCTTTCAGTTTGCTTTGTTTCTTCCGACTTGGGGTTGAGGAAAGTGAGATGATTAAAGATGAGATGCAATGATGGCAAGTCAGGGTGCGTGGGAGATGACTTTTTCCCCCAAGTCTCTTTTTAAGAACCTCCAAAAGTAGTAAAAGGGAGAGGCATAATTTATTTTGTTTCCTAACTAAATCTATTTCCACCAGGACAGACTTGGCTTAGGTAGCCTCATTCCCATATTTTCTTGTTTACCATGCATATCCATAGTATTATCCTTGAACTGTATCAGTAGCTCCCTTTTGTTTGGACTAATTTAATTGTCTCCGTCTGGTCTTCTTGCACCCATGCATAGCATTCGTTCTTGAAAAGAACTTGACCTACTTTTATTATAGGTTATTGTAACCTCTTAAGAACTTTCATATACTTTTTACAGTGAAGAATACAAATGTTAGGCCCAGTTATTACAACAGAATGCTTATTTGAACTCAGTTTTTTTTGACATCCCCTCTTATACTAACTGTAAAAGTAAGAATAAAACATGTATCCATGCCAAGCCTGTATATAAATTGTATGTGTGTGTTTCAAGCAATTGACGGAGAATACTTGATCGTAACGGATAAGGGGGCACTGGATGTGGGGGAATGAGATTTTCTTTGCTTTAGAGCGTAATAAAACTTTCAGAATCTTACAGCCCCTACTCCTCAACACTGCATTGCCTTTCCTGAGCCTACAGGCAGTTGAAACACCAGACTAGATCATTATTTTGTGTCACCATTAATTATGAATGGGAAGAGAACATGATATCATAGAATCATAGAATATCAGGGTTGGAAGGGACCTCAGGAGGTCATCTAGTCCAACCCCCTGCTCAAAGCAGGACCAATCCCCAACTAAATCATCCCAGCCAGGGCTTTGTCAAGCCTGACCTTAAAAACATCTAAGGAAGGAGATTCCACCACCTCCCTAGGTAACGCGTTCCAGTGCCTTCTTGGCAACAAGGGCACACTGTTGACTCATATCCAGCTTCTCGTCCACTATAACCCCTAGGTCCTTTTCTACAGAACTGCTGCCTAGCCATTCAGTCCCTAGTCTGTAGCGGTGCATGGGATTCTTCCGTCCTAAGTGCAGGGGGTTGGACTAGATACCTCCTGAGGTCCCTTCCAACCCTGATATTCTATGATTCTATGACTCTGCACTTGTCCTTGTTGAACCTCATCAGATTTCTTTTGGCCAAATCCTCTAATTCGTCTAGGGCCCTCTATATCCTATCCCTACCCTCCAGCGTATCAACCTCTCCTCCCAGTTTAGTGTCATCTGCAAACTTGCTGAGGGTGCAATCCACACCATCCTCCAGATAATTAATGAAGATATTGAACAAAACCGGCCCCAGGACCAACCCTTTGGGCACTCCGCTTCATATCAGTTGCCAACTAGACATGGAGCTCCATGATATTTCCAGGGACTGAGGTGAGGCTGACTGGCCTGTAGTTCCCCTGATCCTCCTCCTTCCCTTTTTAAAAGATGGGCACTACATTAGCCTTTTTCCAGTCATCTGGGACCTCCCCCGATCGCCATGAGTTTTCAAAGATAATGGCCAGTAGCTCTGCAATCACAGAGCCAACTCCTTTAGCACTCTCGGATGCAGCACATCCGGCCCCATGGACTTGTGCTTGTCCAGCTTTTCTAAATAGTCCCGAACCACTTCTTTCTCCACAGAGGGCTGGTCACCTCCTCCCCATGCTGTGCTGCCCAGTGCAGTAGTCTGGGAGCTGACCTTGTTCGTGAAGACAGAGGCAAAAAAAGCCTTGAGTACATTAGCTTTTTCCACATCCTCTGTCACTAGGTTGCCTCCCTCATTCAGTAAGGGGCCCACACTTTCCTTGACTTTCTTCTTGTTGCTAACATCCCTGAAGAAACCCGTCTTGGTACTTGTAACATCTCTTGCTAGCTGCAACTCCAGCTGTGATTTGGCCCTCCTGATTTCACTCCTGCATGGCCGAGCAATATTTTTATACTCTTCCCTGGCCATTTGTCCAATCTTCCACTTCTTGTAAGCTTCTTTTTTGTATTTAAGATCAGCAAGGATTTCACTGTTAAGCCAAGCTGGTCACCTGCTATATTTACTATTCTTTCTACACATCGGGATGGTTTGTCCCTGTAACCACAATAAGGATTCTTTAAAATACAGCCAGCTCTCCTGGACTCCTTTCCCCCTCGTGTTATTCTCCCAGGGGATATAAAGATGAATGAGCTGCTGGTGCTATAGCATACATGGACCAACCCTGGGGACTCGTCATTCTGATAAAACCCACATTTCAAAATCTCTTCCCTTCCTTCACAATCCCAGCTGTGGAAATAGGGACCTTGGAGCTGTGCACAGTAACCCTTTCACTGCTGGGTCTCTATCACAGTAACCCCCTCTGGTGATTAGCAGAGGTGGGGGCGGGGCAGCAAGTTTGGATCCCAAATGGCATTCGCTGCCATTAGCGATTGTAGGAGTGGGAGGGAACCCAGACGTAGGTGTGGGCCAAGTCTCCCAGCTGGAGGGAGGGGAGACGGGGAAGGAGATAGAGAAACTGAAGGAGAAGTAAGTGGGAAGAGCGGTGACAGGGTCCCAAACTGGTCCAGTTATAGAGGCAGAGAGTTTCAGGCCAGACGGGTCCACTACATCATCTGATCTGACCTCCTGTGTCACAGGCCACCAACCCCAGCTACCACCCGCCTACTAAACCCAACAGCTGGAGTGAGATCCAAGTTTCACGGCCCACAGCAGACTAGACTGTTTTGTGCCAGAGGCAGAGAATGGGAGATGGGGAGTGAGATGCTTGAGGCCCCTGACAGGGAAACGATTACCCCCGCCCAGTCTCCCATCTCCAGCCGTCGCCATGCCTGATAACTTCAGAGGAAGGAGATAAAAACAAAAAATCTCCCAGAATACATTTGGAAGGGGGAAGGTGGGGAGAGATCCCTTCCTGACCCCTGCCATTGGCCGGCTGGAAGCCTGAGCTTTAGGAACATGAGACATAGACCAGAATCACTGCAGACCAGAATAAAACTGGAGAGGTGAATGCAGCCCGAAAGAATTCTGGGCATCAGGTCAACCAGTGGGGCTGATTCAATTCCACAGAATCATAGGACTGGAAGAGCCCTCAAGAGGTCATCTAGTCCAGTCCCCTGCACTCAAGGCAGGACTAAGTATTATCTAGACCATCCCTGACAGGTGCTTGTCTAACCTGCTCTTAAGAAAAATCTGTCGGTAGGGAAAGAGCCAGGGGCAATCGTGATGTGAAATGCATTAAAGCCCCTTCTGAAATCTCCCCAGTCCCCCTTCTTGCCCTGACAGGCTGTAGAGTAACACCTGCCTTTGGCTCCCGATGCTCCCATCCTCCCCGGGGACGAGAAAGGACAATGGCTGCGGTGGAGCCAGTCCAGGTAAGGTTTCTGAGGGAGTTGCTGGTGGGTTCGTGCTGCAGAGAGGGGGGCAGAAAATACAGAGGAGGTCAGGATTGCTTGGGAGTTTGATCAAGAGGTGGGGGGGGGGCAGGAAATCCACAGGGTGGAGAAAGGGAGGGGGACAGGGTGTGGCGAACCTGCTGGGACTTGTTCAACCTAGGGCCTGGATTCTAGGAACAGACCTATGGGGGTTGAGGGTTCAGATCCACTTATTAGTGGAACAGGAAACAAACCCCTTGGCCTGGGCTGGGAAAACTTACCAGATTGCTAGTGCTGGAGTCTCAACCTACCAACCTAAGGTTTCTGAGCAACATGAAGGGGACACCCATCAGAGGGTCTTAGGGGAGATGCCCCATCTCCTGACATCCAGCTAATGGCAATGGGGAGGGGGTTGGGATTCCTACCAGGGGGCCTGGAGCCTGCTAGGGGCCCCATCTTCTGTATCAGGCTCTGGCTAGTAGGTGTGTGATGAATGTGAAGACCCTGCCCCCTCTATCTGCTGGGAAGCATGAGAAGTTCTCTTTCTCACCTCACTCTGAGGCCTTCTGGCTGCTCTGAGCAGGGTGGAGGAGGAACCTGCTGATTGTGAGCCTCCCAGAGCTTCCATCTGGTAGGTCCCTCTCCCCCATGAATGGTGGGGCTGTGAGTGGGGCAGCAGGTCCTGAGTGTGGGACTCTTGCTCTTTCAGGGGCTGGTGACCTTCGAGGAGGTGGCTGTGTATTTCACCAGGGAAGAGTGGGCTCTGCTGGACCCCGCTCAGAGAGCCCTCTGCGGAGACGTCATGCAGGAGAACTATGAGAGTGTGACCTCGCTGGGTAAGGATTCCTGTCCCCTCGGTTCTTAGAAGGGGAAATGCAGAGTTAAGGTTCACGACACCCCACAATGCCACCTCTCCTCTGCCCTGTTTCAGCATCACCCCGACATGCCAGTGACACACACAGTGACACCCTCTGCCCTCCCCCGCTACAGAACGCTCTGGGAACAGGAGCAGACGCGGTATTGCACAAAGTCTAACAACTTCTCTTTGCGAAGGCAAAACTGGGGTTTAATTCCAGCAGAGTGAAGAGAAGCTGCCTGCCACTGGCCTCCACTCCAACACTCAGCCTACTCCACACGAGCCAGCTCAGACTAGCAAAGTGAGATCACCCCTTTACCGGCATAAGCGCCAGTGTGCATCGTGCTGTGAAAGTGGCAGGGCTTCTCCCGCCCACATAGCTACCGCTGCTCCTCGTTGGGGGTGGTTTAGTTATGCAGAGCGGCTACCTGCAGCTGCCTCACTGTAAGCTCTCTCGTGTAGACCTGGCCTTAGTTTGGCTGATTTCACTCCTCAGGGTGCAGCTCTGCACTGGGATGCTTGTGCAGTAAAACGAGTAAGTTTGTTACCTAAATAATCGTTCTTTGTTCACACCAAGGAGAGGGAATTGGGATAGAAATAGTTACAAACAAACCCAAGTTAAAATATGCTTCTGAGACTAAAACCTAACTTAACTAACTAGAAAAGGAGGACTTGTGGCACCTTAGAGACTAACCAATTTATTTGAGCATGAGCTTTCGTGAGCTACAGCTCACTTCATCGGATGCATACCGTGGAAACTGCAGCAGAGTTTATATAAACTCTGCTGCCGTTTCCACGGGATGCTTCCAATGAAGTGAGCTGTAGCTCACGAAAGCTCATGCTCAAATAAATTGGTTAGTCTCTAAGGTGCCACAAGTCCTCCTGTTCTTTTTGCGAATACAGACTAACACGGCTGCTACTCTGAAACTTAACTAACTAGGTTTTTTGTTCCATGTCGTTTGCTCCCCACGCTCCTCCTTCCTTAGCCAGGATACAACACAGCAAAACCCAGAGCACTTGGTTCCTGTGGCTCCTGCTCAATTGTTTTTTTACCCACCTTATCTCCCCACGAAATGTCTCTGTTTCAACAGCCAGTATTGCTTCCTCCTGTTCTTCCCTTTCTGTGCGCTTCCCATCCCCTGCTTGTTTGCATGTAAATGGCTTTTCCATTGTTTTGATTCCCCCCTGGTTAATTTACATCATTGTTAGGGGCTGGCTTTCTCTTCGCCCTCCCTTGCTTCTTGTCACGCAGACAGAAAGCAGAAGATGAGCAGGCAAAGTGCAGGCAATGCCATGGTTATTGGCATTAATCAAGCATATCCATAGCTCTACACGCTAGCAGAGACTTTTCCCCAGTGTCCCAGTTTCCGCTTCCTTAGAAGGCATAGTTATACCTGCAGTGCACACCCATGATCCCACTCCTTACAATTTATGGTCATGTTCTGTTTTGGAGGGTCATGAGTCTGGGGGCTCAGTGTCACCTCTTTCGTATCCCATGGGAAGGGTAAGGAGTGAGGTTGTGCTTTGGTCAGGGACAGGCATTTCTTTGGCTTTCAGTGTTTTTTATACCTTCCACCCCCCCCCACCCCCCCCCCCCAAAAAAATCTCCCCTTGCCCTTCCCAACCGGTTGCTTGACCTTATCTTGGGAGAGAAGTTGAGGCAGGGCTGTCCTTCAAGTGTCCTCTCCCACTCTGCCCAGCGACACTTTCTCTTTTCACCCCATCTGCTTGTGGGCAGATGTAACATACGGTGTCTTTGTTCTTTGTTCACACACATTAATAAGAATATAAAAATATCAGAAGTCAAATGAGCCAAACAAGACCCAAACTTCTATCTCAGGCAGATATACAGGCCTGAATACTACATTATCATCACTAACACTCCTAGCAGTCATCACGGAGTTTGTTGTGCTGGTCGGGTCATTAGCTTTCCCAGCTCAGGCCAGGTACTGGCAGGGAGTGTGACGTAGATGCTGTTGCAGACCGGAAGCTAGACAACTTTTTTCTCCATTTGTCGGGTCACAAACTCGAAAGCATAGTAGAGGCGAGGATCCATAATTCCTCATGTGGTGTTCAGATAGTAATGACCAGCATATTGCAGGCTTTCAGACAAGACCTTGCTCTATTGAGCACTTTTATAGCACAGTAATATTGCATACAATCAGATGCTTCCCTTGTTCTGGGATTCAGACCCCACAGTTTTCCCCCTGGGATTGTCACAGTGCCATGGTGAGTGATGGGCTAGCTGCATTTCTGTCCCCTTCCTCCTCTCTCAGAGTTCCTTACCCTGGGGTCAGGTCTCACGCCTTTCTGTCTCCTGGAGTGGAATTCAGCAATTCTTCTTCTCCTAAACCAGGCCCTGGGCGGTGCTACCCTCTGTGCTTACCCAGCAGGTCAGGCTGAGTGCGGACACCTTTACTACTTCCCTTCGGGAGTCTGAGATCAGTGACAAAAGAGTCTCCTTCAGACCAAAGGAGTGTTTATTCTGCAGTAGGAAAAAAAGATTTGAAAATGGTCTTCATGCCTGCCGGGCTGACCATCCCCTGATGGACACCTCAGCAGGTCTAACTTCTTCAGACATCCCATCAGGGTCATTTCTTTGTCTCTTTCCTGCAAACAATTACCTGAACTGGCTATCCTGCCTGTGATGGGATCCCCAGGGTGCAGCCTGGGACCATGGGACCGCTGTTGCCCCTTAACTCTCCAGCCTGGGCTCTCTCTCGCAATGCTTTGCTAGTGACAAGCAGCAAACCCCTCCAGGCCCTGTGAACACTCAGCACAACAGCATGTGGAGCCCCACGTGCAGCTAGATTTCATGAATGCTCCCAGAGCCACTCATGAATCACACAGAGAAAGGCACCAAATCCTCCCAGCTCCCAGCCCTGTACCTCAGGAATATACCGTCCTGCACTGCTCAAGACAAGCAGTGCAAATTTATTAATTCGTTCCCTACTTCATTTCATAACTGTCAGGGTGGTTAAGCACTGGAATAAATTGCCTTGGGAGATTCTGGAATCTCCATCACTGGAGATTTTTAAGAACAGGTTAGACACACACCTGTCAGGGATGGTCTAGATCAGTGGTTCTCAAACTTTTGTACTGGTGATCCCTTTCACACAGCAAGTGTGACAAAGCGGGACTGTTCTTAATGTTTCCTCTGAATATTGTGGGGGTGCCTCAGTTTCCCCTATGCAGTTCTAGGTGGTGGGATAAGGGTATATGATCATTGCAGAGCCCTAGAGGACAGGTGTGTGCAGGGGTCTGGACACAGAGAATGGCCGACACCCTGTTTCCTGGCACCTGATGGCCTGGGCCCTTCCCCCCTGCAAGGTGAGAGCTAAAGGGTTGGAGAACAAAGGAATCAGGTGACGACCTGACCCAGAAAAGGGTCAAAGCCGAGAGGAGGAGGGGCTGGAGGGGAGTCAGTTTGGAGCTGGCTGGGGACATGGAGTGAAGTGCAGACGTGGTTCTCTGGCTCACTGCCCCCCAAAATGGACCTGGCTGAGGGGTCCTGTTCTCTGTACCTACAAGCTGGTTTAGACCATGTTCCTGTCATCTAATAAACCTTCTGTGTTACTAGCTGGCTGAGAGTCACGTCTGACTACGGAGTTGGGGGGGCAGGACCCTCTGGCTTCCCCAAGACCCCGCCTGGGCGGACTCGCTGTGGGAAGTGCACAGAGAGGCAGAGGATGCTGAATGCTCTGAGGTCAGACCCAGGAAGGTGGAAGCCATGTGAGCTGTGTGTCCTGCAGACAGTCTGCTCAGAGAAAGGGGTCTTCCCCAGAGTCCTGCCTGGCTTCGTAGGGAGCAGTTCCAAAGCATCGCCCGGGGACTCCGTGACAGCAAGCCTCTGAGTGTGGACCCCACCCCCTATAAATTAAAAGCATTGGTTTATATATTTAACACCATTATAAATGCTGGAGGCAAAGAGGGGCTTGGGGCAGAGGCTGACAGCTCGCAACCCCCCATGTAATAACTTTGCAAACCCCTGAGGGGTCCCAACCCCCAGTTTGAGAACCCCTGGTCTAGATAATACTTAGTTCTGCCATGAGTGCAGGGAACTGGATTAGATGACCTCTCAAGGGCCCTTCCAGTTCTATGTTTCTATGCGCTTTCCTAACATCTAATAACCCTGAGATCCTGCATTCAGTGACATCCCTGGTCCCTCCTACTCCTTACTACTCTGAACCCCACCAGCCCATGTGTGACACCTTCTTGGGGCGTCCAGAACTGTAGGTCATTGTCTTCTCCTCCTGCCTCAGGGAGAGAGGTGCTGGAGTTAATCTTTGTGTCCACTCCCAGTCTTTAGCGCCCCACAAAGAAACTCCTCAAGGTTCTGCCAGCTCTCACTTTGCCTTGCAGGTTAACCCTTGGTGTACACCTTTCCTCCAACTCCCCTGAAGCACCCCCTGTAGTGTCCAGCCCCTGTCACTGGACACTCACAGAAATTACCAGGTCTGGTGCCCCCAAAGGGGCAGCGTACTAGCGTCTTGGAAGGTTACAACTCTGGAGCGGGTCCTTTATAACAACGCAGCACTGTAATCCCTTCATGGGGAAAACAGATATAAGTTTATTGACAAAAAACAGAGACTCAGAGATTCAAATGGGCAGTGAGCAAGGGTAATAAGAACTGAATTAGTTACAAATAAAACAAAAGTATGCAGTAAAACCTCAGAGTTACGAACACCAGAATTAAGAACTAACCGGTCAAGCACACACCTCATTTGGAACTGGATGTACGCAATCAGGCAGCAGCAGAGACAAAAACAAAACAAAATGCAAATACAGTACTGTGCTGTGTTAAACGTAAAATTACTGAAAAAATAAAAGGAAAGTTTAAAAAAAGATCTGACAAGGTCAGGAAACTGTTTCTGTGCTTGTTTCATTTCAATTAAGACAGCATTTTTCTTCTGCATAGTAAAGTTTCAAAGCTGTATTCAGTCAATGTTGCATTGTAAACTTTTGAAAGGACAACCAGACTGTTTTGTTCAGATTTACGAATGTTTCAGAGTTGCGAACAATCTCCATTCCAGAGGGGTTCGAAACTCGGAGGTTCTACTGTACTGTGCTTTCTAGAGACCAAGACTTAAACTTATCAAGATACAGTCCTCGTCCACTGCTTTATCTTGTCTTCAAAGCCTTTCTGCAGAGCTTGCTGGTTTCCGGTCAAACCAGGATCCAGAACGTTAACAAACGATCCACTTCTGCTAAGGGTGTTCTTTGGTGAAATGGATAACAAAGGGGATTCTTTTTCCTGCCTTTTATAGTCCAGTAAACCTCTGAAATGTATCCTTTTGAGGAGGACTGTCAGCTAAGACACCTCTCCCCCATTGCTTCTTCTCCGGTGTGCTGTGCCCCGGTGAGAACGCTTGTGTAGCTGCGTTATGCCGACCGGAGAGCGCGTTCCCATCGACGTAATAAAACCAGCTCAATGAGCAGCAGTGGCTGTGTCGGTGGGAGGCGTCTCCTGCTGTGCACACGAGCGTTTATGCCGACAAAACTTACGTCGCTCGGGGTGTGTGGTTTTTTTCACACCCCCGAGCGACCAAAGTTTTGCCGACATAAGTGCTAGCGTAGACATGACCTTATGTAGGAAAGAGAGACCTTCCCTCCTGTCTGGAAGAAACCTGTTTCTCCCTTTGTTTGGTTAGACATTAAGGCAGAGGTCCCCAAACTGTGGGGCTCAGAGGAACGTTCGGGGGTGGGGGGGCGGTGGCCCAGGCCAGTCCCCATGGGGGGCAGGGAGGGAGTGCCACCCAGCCCCGCCCCTGGCCCTGCACCTGGGCCCCTGTCTGTGGCTCCATTCCTGGCCTGAGGCCAAGGCTGGGAGTGGGAGAGGAGCAGAGTCGCACCCGGCCATGAGCCCAGCTGCCAGCCCCCACCACGGCTCTGCTCCCATCCTCAGCCTCGGTCCCTGGCCGCGGCTCCAGCCTTGGCCTCAGACCCACCCCCAGCCTTGGCCCCCTGTCCACGTCCCCACCCACCTGCTCCTGGCCCAGGGTGCAGGGGTGGACAGGGGAAAGGGGGAGGGGTGACCCTCAAAGTTTGGGGACCACTGTTTTAAAGCATAATATCACTAGGTATACATTATTCCTCATATAGCATCAGTGCACACATTTCACAATTCTCTGAATCATAGGACTGGAAGGGACCTCGAGAGGTCATCTAGTCCAGTCCCCTGCACTCATGGCAGAACCAAGTATTATCTAACCCATCCCTGACAGGTGTTTGTCTCACCTGCTCTTAAAAATCTCCAATGATGGAGATTCCACAACCTCCCTAGGCAGTTTATTCCAGTTCTTCCAACAGGTAGGAAGTTTTTTCTAATGTCCAACCTAAACCTCCCTTGCTGCAATTTAAGCCCATTGCTTCTTGTCCTATCCTCAGCGGTTAAGAACAATTTTTCTCCCTCCTCCTTGTAACAACCTTTTATGTACCTGGAAACTGTGATCATGTCCCCTCTCACTCTTCTTTTCCAGACTAAACAAACCCAATTTTTTCAATCTTCCCTCATCAGTCATGTTTTCTAGACCTTTAATCATTTTTGTTGCTCTTCACCGGCTTTCATCTGATGCCTTACAAGAAACTTTTTGAATAAATTCTATTAAACCAGAGTGAGTTTGTCAGACCTTATAGGTGTTCCGGACACAGAGGAGTGAGCCACAACTGGGCCTCCGTGACACAGCTTGCTCACCCATCCCGTCTTCCCTATGACTCTCTCTATGTCTCTGGATCTCTGTCAGTGAGCTCCCCTCTGAGTCCTCCGTTTCTGGGACATGGAGTTACCTTTTCTGTGTTTTTGGGATCCTTTCATGACGAGTGTCTGGCTGTGTGTTCCCATCAGAGATGGCAATAGTAAACCCCTCCTAAGCACAGTGTCCCGCGCCTTTCAGCGTTTGGGGAGCTGCATTACAATGGGCTGTTAAAATAATAGAACTTTTTTTTTCTGAACAAATTAAATTAATTCACCTGATCTTGCTTCTTTTTCTTCCCCTGAGCAGGGTTTCCTGTGTTCAAATCCGATGTGATCTCCCAGGTGAAACAAATGGAAGAGCCAGGGCCCCCGGTTCTCCAGGGCTTGGAGGAAAGAGAGATTCTGATGGCCACCTGTTCTGGTGAGGAATAATTAAATCCACTCAAAAGATGTTAGTGCCTGAAGGAAAGAGCTAGGATTCCCTACAAAAGCCTTGTGAGTTCAGGATTGTCCCCAGCGGGTGTCAGATCCTCAGGGCAGCTATCGCTCATGGCTTCCTACCCATCCTGACTCACACCTGGCAGGAGCTCCCTCACTGGTCTCCCCTCCCCTGAATGTTTGGATAGGATGGAGGCAGACTTCACCCCCTTCTCTTTCTCCTACAGGGAAGAGTTTGGGGAAATTCAGTTCCTGATTTTTTTTTCTGTCTTTCCAGTTATTTTGGTTAGCTCTCCCCTTTTCCATCCCTGAGTTAGGTCAGTGTAAGCTGCCTCTTGTCGACTAACTCTGAATGTGTCTATGCTAAAATGCAGCTCTCACCCCACTGCGCTGACTTAAATGACTTAAATAATCCCAACTATATGTATAAAATGATGGAGTCTAAATCAGCTGTGACCACTCAAGAAAGAGATCTTGGAGTCACTGTGGATAGTTCTCTGAAAACATCCACTCAATGTGCAGTGGCGTCAAAAAAGCGAACAGAATGCTGGGAATCATTAAGAAAGGGATAGATAATAAGACAGAAAATATCATGTTGCCTCTATATAAATCCATGGTACACTTGCATCTTGAATACTGTGAGCAGATGTGGTCGTCCCATCACAAAAAAGATATATTGGAATTGGGAAAGGAGCAGAAAAGGGCAACAAAAATTATGAGGGGTATGGACCGGCTTTCGTATGATGAGAGATTAAAAAGACTGGGACTTTTCAGCTTGGAAAAGAGACAACTAAGGGGGGATATGAGAGAGGTCTGTAAAATTATGAAGGGTGTGGAGAAAGTAAAGAAAGAAGTGTTATTTGCCCCTTCTCATAACACACGTACTAGGGGTCACCCAATGAAATTAATTGGCAGCAGGTTTAAAACAAACCAAAGGAAGTATTTCTTCACACAACGCAGAGTCAACCTGGGAAACTCCTTGCCAGAGCATGTTGTGGAGGCCAAGGCTATAACAGGGTTCAAAAAAGAACTAGATAAACTCAGGGAGGATAGGTCCATCAATGGCTATTAGCCAGGATGGGCAGGGTTGGGGTCCCTTGCCTCTATTTGCCAGAAGCTGGGAATGGGCAACAGGGGATGAATCACTTGATGATTCCCTATTCTGTTCATTCCCTCTGGGGCACCTGGCATTGGCCACTGTCGGAAGGCAGGATACTGGGCTAGATGGACCATTGGTCTGACCCAGTATGGATAAATTGGATGGATAAACTGTGGATAAATTGGAGAGAGTCCAGCGAAGGGCAACAAAAATTATTAGGGGTCTGGAACACATGAGTTATGAGGAGAGGCTGAGGGAGCTGGGATTGTTTAGCCTGCAGAAGAGAAGAATGAGGGGGGATTTGATAGCTGCTTTCAACTACCTGAAAGGGGGTTCCAAAGAGGATGGCTCTAGACTGTTCTCAATGGTATCAGATGACAGAACGAGGAGTAATGGTCTCAAGCTGCAGTGGGGGAGGTTTAGATTGGATATTAGGAAAAACTTTTTCACTAAGAGGGTGGTGAAACACTGGAATGCGTTACCTAGGGAGGTGGTAGAATCTCCTTCCTTAGAGGTTTTTAAGGTCAGGCTTGACAAAGCCCTGGCTGGGATGATTTAACTGGGAATTGGTCCTGCTTCGAGCAGGGGGTTGGACTAGATGACCTTCTGGGGTCCCTTCCAACCCTTATATTCTATGATTCTATGATTCTATGATTCAGTATGGCCATTCTTACATTCTAATAATTCCCCCTTCGTGAGAGGTGTGGTGCTTAAGTCGATGTAATTATGTTGACGCAGTGCCAGTGTAGACACTGTGTTGCTTGCATGGACTGTTACTGCCTTTCAGAAGCTGTCCCACAATGCCCCACGCTGCCTGTTAAGTTGGTGCAAGCGCTCCTGGTGAGGACGTGCACTGCCGACGTAAAGAGCCTAGCATGGATGTGCAAAAGCAATTTAATTACTGTGGAGGGTGTACGTCGACTGAACTTAGGCTGACTTAATTTTGTAGCGTAGACTCATCCTGAGGTTTCTTTCTCTATCCCAGCAGGCGGTGGGATGCTGAGTGAGAATGTGGAGCAGAATCCTCACCAGGAACATGCTGAGCAAGTGGAAGCACATGGGGGATTATTGCAAGGATATCAAGGGAATGTGTCCAGGCATCATGTGCAGGGAAAAGCCTGTGAGAGTCAGCACAGGCCAGAGAGACAGCCGGAAAGTCAACCAGGGGAGAAAGTGGGTAAATCCCCTAATTGTCAGGAAACTCACAACAACTTCAAGGAAAGCACAGCCCAGCAGAGAATCCCAATGGGAGAGAGACCCTATAAATGTGCTGAGTGTGGGAAGACCTTCAGTTTGAGTTCAAACCTTATTAAACATCAGAGGATCCATACAGGAGAGCGCCCCTATGAATGCGGAGAGTGCGGGAAAACCTTCACTCACAGCTCACACCTAACTAGACATCAGAGAATGCACACCGGAGAGAGACCCTACGAATGCTGTGAGTGTGGGAAAACCTTTCGGTACCGCTCAGACCTTATCACGCATCAGAGAATCCACACGGGGGAGAGACCCTATGAGTGCTGTGAGTGCGGGAAAAACTTCAGCCAGAGCTCAAACCTTATTAAACATCAGAGGATCCACACCGGAGAGAGACCCTACGAGTGCTGTGAGTGCAGGAAGACCTTCACGCGGAGATCAAACCTTAATGCACATCAGAGAACCCACAAAGATGCAAGACCCTATGAATGCTTTGTATGGGAAAACCTTCACACTGAGCTCACACCTTACTACACATGAGAGAAACACCTTTTAATAACCTTTTCAAAGCCTGACAAAAGTTGTTGGGTTTTTTTGTTTGTTTGTTTTGCATTAATGCTTTTGTTAATTCCCACCTAATGATCTTTAAGGATATTGGCAGAATTATCTTTACTGTGGTCTCTCACCTCCCCACGTGAGTTGTCCACTTTTGTGTTTTGCTGCTCGCCCTTCCTTGGGATGAATACCGTGGTCCTCTCTATCAACTCCTATGAGTCATGGGAGAGCTAGTCTCTCTTGCCGGGAATGTCCATCAACCAAGGCGAGGGAGATAAGGATGACCTTCATTAGCTACATTGAAGCACAGTCTACGTGGGCCTCACCTCCGCTAGGTTTTTCCCATGCAGTTAGCTAGCTCATGTTCACTATCCCAATGAAGAAGACAGCTACTCTTGCTGGAATGGGTGTGGTTAGCTAGGCTATTTTCTCATGAGCTGACCTCACTTTTTATGGCTTTTCATAGTCTAAAAAAGCCCAGAGCAGCACATTTGTATTGTTCCTCCCATTGCAAAGCGGTTGTGAGAGTCATCAAGTTCTGCCTTGAGGATAAATTGTCTCATTCTCTGCTGTTCTCACATTGCCCTAGGGTGTGCTGATGAGCAGTTATATACTTTTTTTTACCATTTTTCTCATTTAAAATGTATTTAAATATAATAAAAAGCAGGAGCATGGGTGGGAAAAAAAGTGTCTTTTCCACCACTGTGACACCCGAAGAAGGTGGGGAGAGTCAGAGGGATCCCCTCCTTCCCCATCAGCCCAGCAGCGTTAATCTCCGCACGGCTAAAATAGAAGGTCTTGTCTTCACATTCTACCCGTCCACATCCTAGAGAGTCATGTGATGCGGCAGCCTCAGGTTTCTGTGCTTCGGAATGGTGCTTTGATTTCTTTGATCCTAAATCAGACTCATTAGGGCTGGAGATGAGTGTCACAGACCTGGAAGGGGAATTCCAATGGATCCCAAACACAGTGTGATCATACTGAGTTTAAATCCCAGTTTTCATCTATTGGCAAAGCCACTTTGGTCTCTTTCCTACTGAGTTGGGATTGTTTGCAGATGGGAAAGTTGGCTGGTTTTGCACTCCTTCCCCCCTCCCCTCCTCCCATTCTGATGATGCTAAAGCTTTTGTAAATAACACAACTCACTAATGAGACAGTGGTGAGTGAAGGAGGTTTGAACGACTCAGAGAAGATGATGGGAGAATCAGTGGTCCTGCTTCTGAGTTATCGGATGTAACCTGCTGTGGAATTTCACGTTACATGACCCTAAATGTGTCTCATGACCTCTCTGTGAGGTGGGTTTTTCTCTCATGCCTGGAGGCCCTTTGGTCACACAACCAGATATTAATTTAGTTTGACAGGACGTAGCTCAGATTTACTGGGGACTTTGAGACAAATGACCATTTGCTAAAATAGTCATTTCTTAGTATATTTTTGCTTTCCTCCCACCTCTCCATTATGACACACAGGAAATTCAAGTGCAGTTCAGTCAACAGGATTGAATACTCCAAGCTATTTGGCATGCTAGCAAAGCAATAGTAGCGTTTTTAAGTCTCCAGTCTGAATTGGTGAGCAATAGCAGACCCCAGACTGTGCAACTAACTGAAGTAATTGCCTGCGATCACAATGCCATTCAGTTCTTTAGGTCAATATTATCTCAGATGATCCAGGGAGACAGTGTCATAGTATGTGGCTTTCAACTGGGCAAAAATGCCCATGTATTTTTCCCCCCCAAAGCACGTGTGACCCAGGCCCGACAGGAGGTTACTCCTGTGATTTGGTAAATACTGTCCCTAACTATGCAGATGTAGAGAAATAGACGTGGTGTTTTTGTTGAACTCACCCCTTGTACGTGCTGTAAATGTGTATAAAATGAAGTAAGTGTTGAATGTTATGTAGCTGCAGGAAAAAAAACTGTTTTCAAATAGAAATCCTACCTCTACTAGCTTAAAGAAATTCGGGATCCAGGTTTGTGTCCAGTCCCTAATTTAGACCTGTGCCACCAGATTAAAGAAAGAAATTGAGCATGCTTGGGAGAGACCATTCCTCACTAACACTCTTGAGATTTGGGGTGTAAATTAACCTTGACCAAGGCCAAAGATTTGGCAAGAGTTCAGGTAGAAATAGCATGCAGCCAGTTGTTAGCTTACATCACAAAGTCAAAAAGCTCTGGTGAACGGTGCACAAGTCAAATTGTTTTAGAACACCATTTCCTAGTTCAGTGTCACTGATGGCCAAAGGATGCCATGCTTAGATCCGTGGACAATTGTCCTTTTCCATTTGGATCCAACGTTTCATGAGGTAACAAGAGAAACAGCTGATGTCTTCAGAGAACATTCTTTCCTCAAGGATCACAATCTGGCTGCCTGGTTGGGCAACAACGACTTCCCTTTTGTGCAAGTGATGGCTACAGTGAGGGAATGAATTTGTCAGATTCCAAGTTGAGACTTCAACATACATAAATGTTGAGTCCTGATGCTATTCTTTTGTCTCATAGTTTTGCTCTTGTGTCTCAAGCATTTGTATCACTTCTCTTCCACCTCCTGCTACTTCGAAAGATTAGAAAGTGTGGAAATAGCATACAGGTGTTTGCTTGTGATGCAAATCTCGCTACATAGTGTGAGGCTCTTCTCTCCAAAACTTATGACAGAAGACCCAAACTTAAATGAACCTGTAGATGTGGAAGAACCTATGTTGGGGTAAACATCAACTTGACATAAAAGTTCACTTGGTGGAAATGGGAATTAAAAGAAAACTGATGTATGATAAGATTTTGTAAGCTTTGAATATGTTGTTATAACCAGCGAAAATGAAATTAAACACAAAGATGGTGGTTAAAGAGTAAGAGACTAATTATGTGATCATTGGAAAACTGAGAGTTGTATATATATATTTGTTTTGTTAGTAATAAAGGAAATGATGGATAATCCTGAAAAGTTTATGCAATGTAATTTACCCCCTTCAGACTAAAAAGTTCTGAAGTAAAAACTCACTCCAAGTATTGGGATGGTGGATATGTAAGAGAAATACTGTATATGAGACTACAGACCTGGTATAGATGTCAATTGTTTCTATTTTGAATGGAATTTATTTTGATACACATCAAAGTGAATTTCTGTTAACTTGTCTTTAAGTATTTTTTTCTCTTATGTAACCTTTTATCCAGTTAGACTGCAAAAGTCACTGAGTACCCCTCTTCTCTTATTTGCAAAGGATGTGACATCTGTCATGAGATGTCCACATTTATTTGTAAGAGTAGTGATGCAGTGGGTACTTTTTCTGCTAAAACCTTTGCAACTAACTATTTTTACAGGTGCTGAACCCCCTTTTCCTTTTGAGGCCAGCTCTTAGAATATTAACCCTGAGACCTGACTATGGAAACGTCCTCAAAACTTGTTTTCCTTTCACATTTGATACCTTTGGGGTTCACACATTCCGACAAAATTTGGTTTGTAACAATAGATATTATAAGAAAACTGCTTGGTTAAGGGAGACTTTTCCTAGCTGACATTAACCCAAAGTCTGTCTCATTCCAACTGGGTCAGGCCATGTTGTCTGTAGCCACAGCATATTTCACCCCTAATTTTCAGCTAGCTCCTTGGATTCGAGTTTTAGCATTTATAAGAGTTGATTATCTGCTGTATTAATCTGATGATTTGGCTCCATTGATGACTTGAGTCCAATGCAGTGGCATTAATGCTTTGATTTTTGTGATTTGATCTTCACTGTATTGTTTAATACAGTTTAGTATTTTTATAGTAATATATAATTTAGTATTAGTACTAAGAGTTCTCGGTTTTATTTGTTGTTCATCCACCCTATATATTCCTCCTTGAGTGTCGGCTTTTGTTAATAGTCATCAATTCCCTCCTTGGAATTTGTATAGGGATATGAGGCAGGTGTGAGCATGGCAGGCCAGGGGCCAGCTTGTGGCAAGTTCCCCATGTCTGAACTGGACACTAACAGATACTGGAATCTGTCTTGTGGGATACTTTTGATAAAATAGGTATTAGACTGCTAAGAAAGTGTTTAATGTTTAGACTCTGTTGAATGCCATGCATTAATCTTAGTTGTTCTATCTATGTTCCATATTGTAACATAATTCCATGTTGTAATATGTTGAATGTGTGTCGTGTGAGCCTCTGTGACTGTACGTATCACCATACAGGAGGGGATATTAATTAGTGCGAATGGCTGCTCTTCTACAGAAATTGTTCCCCCTTCCCCAGCCCCCCTATTGCCAGACGGGCTATGGTTGGATTTTACAACTGGAAACTCTACATCAACGAAAGGACGAAAGACTTGTTCCATTCTCGTCCCCATGAAGATGAGTTCTGCGCATGGACTCATCCCATCAACTGACTTTAAAGCTCAGAACACATGGCAGGAGGGAGATAAATACCCCAAACAAAAGGAACTATGGATCTCAATGATGCTTGGATTCTTGGGGGGGCAGGGAGGAAAGGTGTTTCTAGACATAAGTAAGAGATCCCCAGTTGCTTAGTCTGGGTTAGTCCTAAAGGAGAAATATGGCAGAAACCGAAGACTGTGTAACTCATTTGTGCATCTGTGTTTGCTTGCTTCAACCTTGTAGGTAACTCTCTGACTTCTTTTTCCAAGTTAATAAACCTTCATATAGTTTACTATAGGAATGGCTACAAGAGTTGACTTTGGTATAAGACCTAAAGTGTAATTGACCTGGGATAAGAGACTGGTCCTTTAGGATCAGGGCTAATCTGAATATTGCTGTGATTCTTGGTGTAAGGGGCCACCCAGAGGAAATGCAGGGGGGCGAGGTGAACATGTGGGGTCATGTGCCTGCCCCCCAGATTTGCTGCTTGGCTTGTACTGAGGATGCTCACACAGACTGAACATGCTCAGTAGCACTGCTGAAGCCAGCTGCCCTAATTCTGACCCCCACTATTAGCAGGCACGGGTCATTTCTGGGGCTGTTTATCGCAGAGAGATGCTCACCAGGGTGGCAAGACAGACTGGAATACCCAAGGGGACTTTCTGTGAGGCAGTTCATAGGCCTGAGGACTTTGCACTTGGTGCAATAAGTTTAGGACTCACAACCAGTTTGCGGTTTGTGCCCTGTTTTTTACAGTTTTCCCCTTTCCCCCCACTCCCTTTGCTTTGGCAATGGAACCATCTGCAGTAAAAGATGAGAATGAGCCAGTTGGTAAAGGGCATCAAAATGCCTTCTGGGCTAGAAGTCAAAATAGCATTGAACGCTGATGATGTCTTGTTTATAGTGAGAGGAGCCAGAAGCCTCATAATATATATATATATATATATATATATATATAGAACAATGGATTTTGGGATTTAGATAGCTATCAGGCTTCAAAATGAACTATGATGAATCCAAAATGTTAGGAATTAATATTCCCCAAATGTAAAAACCAAACCGTCATCAGCTGCATAAATTTAAATGGGTAAAGAAATATTTAAATTGTTTATGAATAAATATGGTGGAGAAACATACAAATCATTCTAAGGCAAATTACCCTCCAATGTGGAATAAAATAAGAAGACCCAGGACAATGGAACAAACAGGAATTTTCTTGGCTAGGTAAGGTAGCCTCGGTACAGAGGAATTGTCTTTCCAAAGTTGTTGTTTTTGTTTCAGTGCACCCTTGTTGGTATCCCTGCCATGACCGTGAAAACATGGAAGTATGTGCTATTAAAATTCAGATGGAAACATAAAAGACATGGGGTGCGTTCTAAATTCTGCATAAGCCTCCAAAGTGGGATGGAGTAGATTTCCCTGATTTGACTGATTATGATGATGCATCACAATTAAAAGATGTGATCAACTGGATTAACAATTGTCCATCCAAGCACTGAGTAAAACTCAAAGAAGACTAGAGCCCAGCCCAGATACAGCTATTCCTAGCAACGGTTGGGTTCAAAACAAATGGAGCTAACCAAAAATAAAAGACCACCCATTCATCCAGACCATGTTAGCAGCTTTGAACCATTTTTTAAAAAAAATCTGTTGTCAAGGTCGTGTCCATTAGCTAGCTTCATTAATAATCAGGAAATTAATAATCAGCAGGGCAGGGCATCACCCCTCTTCCAAGCACAATGAGCTGAGAAGATAGAGCAGTGGTCCCCAAACTGGGGTGTGCCCCCCTAGGTTTTTTGGGGGGTGCCACTCTGCCCCCAGCTCCACTCTGGCCCTGCCTTCAGCGTGCCCCCACCCCCAAGCTGCAGCTCCAGCCCCAGCTGAGGCTCTGCTTCTGCCTGTGCCTCCTGTCCCCAGCATAGTTCTGTCCTCTTTCCCTCTCTGCCCCCAGGCCAGCTCCGTCTCTAACCCCAATCAGCAGGCAGGGTCGTCTCTGGGGATAATGGAAAAGACAAGGAAAATCCCCCAACATGTGGAGGTTATAGAATGGCAGAATCCTAGAAAGGTAGTGCTGGAAGGGACTTCAAGAGGTCACTTATCTAGCCCCATGCACCGACTCAGGACCAAGGAAACCTAGATCATTCCCAACTGGTGTTTGTCTAAGCTGTTCTGAAAAACCTACAAGGATGGGGCATCCATGACCTCCACTGGGAGCCTATTCCAGAGCTTACCCACCCTTAGAATGAAAGTGCTTTTCCTAACATCTAACCTCAATGTGCCGTGCAGCAGATGAAGCCCATTACTTCTTGGCCTGTCCTCTGTGGCCAATGAGAACCAGTGATCCATATCCTTATAGCAGCCCTTACTAGATTTGAAGACTTACCATTTTTCTCCCACCCGCCAGTCTTCTTTTCTCCAGACTAAATGCCCCATATTTTTAACCCGTCCTCATCAGTCAGGTTTTTTTAACCCTTCCATTGTCTTTGTTGCTCTCTTCTGGACTCTCTCCAATTTCCACTTCTTTTTTTTAACATGCGGTGCGCAGAATTGGATGCAATACTCCAGCCTCACCTCACCTTAGTCCCTGGAAAAATCATGGAGCAGGTCCTCAAGAAATCAATTCTGAAGCACTTAGAGGAGAGGAAAGTGATCAGGAACAGTCACCATGGATTCACCAAGGGCAAGTCATGCCTGACTAATCTAATTGCCTTCTATGACGAGATAACTGGCTCCGTGGATAAGGGGAAAGCAGTGGACATGTTGTTCCTTGACTTTAGCAAAGCTTTTGACACGGTCTCCCACAGTATTCTTGTCAGCAAGTTAAAGAAGTATGGGCTGGATGAATAGACTATAAGGTGGATAGAAAGTTGGCTAGATTGTCGGGCTCAACGGGTAGTGATCAATGGCTTCATGTCTAGTTGGCAGCCGGTATCAAGTGGAGTGCCCCAAGGGTTGGTCCTTGGGCCAGTTTTGTTCAATATCTTCATAAATGATCTGGAGGATGGTGTGGATTGCACCCTCAGCAAGTTTGCAGATGACACTGAACTGGGAGGAGAGGTAGATACACTGGAGGGTAGGGATAGGATACAGAGGGACTTAGAGAAATTAGAGGATTGGGCCAAAAGAAATCTGGTGAGGTTCAACAAGGACAAGTGCAGAGTCCTGCACTTAGAACAGAAGAATCCCATGCACCGCTACAGACTAGGGACCGAATGGATCGGCAGCAGTTCTGCAGAAAAGGACCTAGGGGTTACAGTGGACGAGAAGCTGGATATGAGTCAACAGTGTGCCCTTGTTGCCAAGAAGGCTAATGGCATTTTGGGATGTATAGGTAGGGGCATTGCCAGCAGATTGAGGGATGTGATCATTCCCCTCTATTCAACATTGGTGAGGCCTCATCTGGAGTACTGTCTCCAGTTTTGGGTCCCACACTACAAGAAGGATGTGGAAAAATTGGAGAGAGTCCAGCAGAGGGCAACAAAAATGATTAGGGGACTGGAACACATGACTTATGAGGAGAGGCTGAGGGAACTGGGATTGTTTAGTCGGTGGAAGAGAAGAATGAGGAGGGATTTGGTAGCTGCTTTCAACTACCTGAAAGGGGGTTCCAAAGAGGATGGATCTAGACTGTTCTCAGTGGTAGCAGATGACAGAACAAGGAGTAATGGTCTCAAGTGGCAGTGGGGGAGATTTAGGTTGGATATTAGGAAAAACTTTTTCACTAGGAGGGTGGTGAAACACTGGAATGCGTTACCTAGGGAGGTGGTGGAATCTCCTTCCTTCAAAGTTTTTAAGGTCAGGCTTGACAAAGCCCTGGCTGGGATGATTTAATTGAGGATTGGTCCTGCTTTGAGCAGGGGGTTGGACTAGATGACCTCCTGAGGTCCCTTCCAACCCTGATATTCTATGATTCTATGATCTGAGGTCTCACCTGCGCCAAAGTAGAGCGCAACAATTAACGACCACGTCTTACATAGGATGCTCCTGTTAGTACACTTGTCGTCAAGTCTCTCCTCTCCAGAGCACCTCCTTGTGTCCAGGTTCAGCACTGCAAAGATTGTACCTGGCTAGCGGTACATTTTACCATTCTTGGGGCTACAAACACCTGGTCTTCTGTGTGGCCTAGCTATGCAGCCAGGTCCCTGTTCAGTTCATTCCCCTTCTTGGGTTGATAGACTTTGTTTTTTTAGGACTTTTCTAACAGCTTCCAAGCCTGTCCCCTGACTCTATCTTGTATGTGGCTTCTTTTATCTTTGTCACCCACTCTTCCCCCTCGTGGTCCAGGGAAGAGGTAGGGGACACCCAGGCCCACCCTCTCTGAGTTCCAGCCCAGGACCTTGAAATCTCAGGACAATGAAATCACAGGGAAGATCGAAAGGAAATCAGAAGTAGCAACAGAATTATTGTCATGACTGGGAGGGATCATCTTGTGGTTGGGAGGAACATAAAGGGCTCAGAGATAGTAGCTCAGGTCCCAGTGGGAAGGGAACATGAGGTGGGAGGAGTAGGAATTGAGCAGTGGTGAGATAAAAAAGTGAAAATAATATTTGGGAAAAAAAATGACTGCGTAGGAAGGAGCGCTGCAGACAGGGATCTGGGGGGTCACAGTGGATTAGCTAAATATGAGTCAACAGCGTAACACTGCTTCAAAAAAAGCAAACATCATTCTGGGCTGTATTAGCAAGAGTGTCGTAAGCAAGACGTGAGAAGTAATTCTTCCGCTCTACTCTGCGCTGATTAGGCCTCAACTGGGGTGTTGTGTCCAGTTCTGGGCACCACATTTCAGGAAAGAGGTAGACAAATTGGAGAAAGTCCAGAGAAGAGCAACAAAAATTATTCGAGGTCTAGAACAGTGGCTCTAAATCTTTCCAGACTACTGTCCCCCTTTCAGGAGTCTGATTTCTCTTGCGTAGCCTCAAATTTCACCTCTCTTAAACTACTTGCTTACAAAATCAGACATAAAAATACAAAAGTGTCATAGCACACTAGTACTGAAAAAATGTCTGACTTTCTCATTTTCACCATATCATTATAAAATAAATCAAGTGGGATATAAATCTTGTACTTACATTTCAGTGTATATTTAGAGCAGTCTACTGTATATAGAGCAGTCTAAACAAGTTGTGTGACATTTTAGATTGTACTGACTTCGCAAGTGCTTTTTATGTATCTGGTTGTAAAACTAGGGAATCTTTAGATGAGTTGATGCACCCCCAGAAGACCTCTGTGTACCCCCAGGTGTACACGTACCCCTGGCTGAGAACCACAGTCTTACACGACATGGACGGTGGCTTAGC